CGCTCCCCAGCATCCGCAGCGCAGACCGTTCGATTTCCTCCGCTGTTAAAAGCATCTTCCGGCGGGAGAACGCTCATTCCTCTAATATTCTTTGAGCAATATAAAATTTCCTTAGATTTTTTTTTTTTTTATCGTACGCGCAAATATCTAATACGAAAATAAAAATCTCCTTTGGAACAACCAACCCATTTTTTTTAAGTCCAGGTTTAATGCGCCGAGGCTGGGCGTGTGCCGGACGCTTGGGCAGGAGCAGGGACCGTGTCCCAGCGAACCTTAAAAAAATGTAACGGGAAGATTTTTTGGGGAGAAAAAAAGGGGGTTGGATGATAGAAGGGCTCTCACCAGGGAGCAAACAGTTTGGCTGAAGCTGCTGGAGGAGCGAAGTGAAGAGCTTGACCCCGTCTACGCGATGATGGGAGGAACCGGGAGCCTTTTTCCCTCGCTGCTGGACCACGCCGTAGCGCTTAACGCTTTTCTTCCCCTGAGTCGTCTCCGATACGCCAAAAAAACAACAACAAAAAAAAAAAGGTTAAATCCCACATGGGAGGATGTCCCACGCTGCTCTCGCTTCTCGTCCTGCGTGATCTTGGTGCCAAGCCAAGCCGAGCCAAGCCGAGCCAAGTTGCTTCTCCTTTTCCAGGCACTTGGGAGATGGTTGGTTTGTTTTTTTTTTTTCCTCCTCTGCATCACCTCTGCCGATCAAGGCTTGAAGCCTCCTCGAGGGGCTTCGCGCACTCAGAACACGGGGACGAGCCGTCTCCCCTGCCCACGCTCCCAGGAGCGCCGGTGCCGGCGTCTTCCTCCGAGCTCTTCCCGCGTTTTGAGCGGTCTCCGGTCCTCCGGCCCCTGTGTCCCCGCTGATGCACGATGAGGCTGGATTTCCTGGTGAACCTCTTCCCGCACTCGGCGCAGGGGTAGGGCTTCTCCCCGGTGTGGGTCCGCTGGTGGGCGATGAGGTCCGAGCTCTGCCCGAAGCTCTTCCCGCACTCGTGGCACTTGTAGGGCTTCTCCCCCGAATGCCATTTTTGGTGTTTAACGAGGCTGGACTTATTGCAGAAGAACTTCCCACACTCGGAGCAGTGGTAGGGCTTCTCCCCGGTGTGGAAGCGCTGGTGGGTGATGAGGTCCCCGCTCTGCCCGAAGCTCTTCCCGCACTCCGAGCACGCATAGGGTTTCTCCCCGGTGTGCAACCGCTCGTGCCTGAAGAGTCCGTACCTCCCCCGGAAGGATTTTTCGCACTGGGAGCACTGGTAGGGCTTCTCCTCGGTGTGCGTTCGCTGATGGATGGTGAGCTCCGATCTCCGGGCGAAGGTTTTCCCGCACTCGTGGCAGGCGAAGGGTTTCTCCCCCGTGTGCACGATGCGATGGGTGAAGAGGTTGGAGCGTTGGCTGAACCTCTTCCCGCATTCGGAGCACTCGAAGGGTTTCTCCCCCGTGTGAATCCGCCGGTGGACGATGATGTCCGAGCTGCGGGTGAACCTCTTCCCGCACTCCAAGCATTTGTAGGGCTTCTCTCCCGTGTGCACTCTCTCGTGCCGGATGAGGGTGGACCTGTCCTTGAAGAACTTCTCGCACGTCGAGCACTGGTAAGGTTTTTCCGCCATGTGGCTTTTCTGGTGGGAACTAAGGTCCGAGCTCTTCCCAAACTCCTCCCCGCACTCTTGGCATTTAAAAGTCTTTCCTCCTCTGTGCAACCTCTGATGGCAAATGAGCTCCGACCTGTCCTGGAAGCGTTTCTTGCAGTGGGAGCATTCGTAGAGGCTTTCTTCTGCAAAGAGCGGCTGATCCCCCTCGCCACGGGCAAATTCGTCCGTCTGCTCCATCCCCGGGCGTCCGTCCAACACCCGGTCGCGTTCACGAGTTCTCCCATGGCTCGTCTCTTCGGATTTTACCGCCGGTTCACCCGCTTTGGCTCCGTCAGGGCATCCCGGCTCGGCGCAGCATCCTTCATCCTCCCTCCGCGTCCCGGCTCCTGCAGGGTTAGACGGAGATTACGTGTCTGCCGCGGGATGGAGCGGTACCCGACGCACCGGAGTCCTGGGATGGAGGATGACCGCGGAGGGATGATTTCCGGAAGGGCCACCCCACCGGCACCATCCCTGCCCGTCGGCGGGGTGAAACGAGGGCAACGCCTGGTGGGTCTTCTCCCACACCCCCC